TATATATATATATGCTAAAAAACGGGGAAAAATACAGATATTTTTTTAAAAAAAATTTAGAAAATTTCTAAATATCTCCTTGAGAATCGTTAAAGTATGAGCTTAAGAAGTAGATGCTTTTCAGTCACTTATGTGATTAGTAGTGGTACTCGTTTATTTCAGTCTCACTACAGCTGCATAATGGGCTATTGGCGACGGTCTGGGAAAACATCGCTGCGAATGATCTGAAGACATGTCATCACAATTTTGATCCTCTGCAGAGGAGATGGCTTTCCCGCTCTGGTTGTCCAACGACTTAAAACAAAGTCTATAACTTTTCCGTAGAACAGTCAAATGAGAACCGATACCACACATCCTTGGTCTTTTCGCAGACTAATCAAAGTGATCAACCGCCTGTTCACTGGCCGTCGCCAGGAATGCTTGACTTACGATCAGTTCACCATGGGACACATATGTGGGACAATGGGGTCATTGGTGTAAATTTTCTGTGACAAAAATTAAAATAAAATCCGTAAGTTCCATGAATAAATAATGAATCTAAAACAGGTTTTTTTAAAACGTACCCCATGTCACTGTATATCTCAACATAAGAATCTTCATCCGTTCTTTCAACCCATTTGATACACGTTTTTTCTTCGAATTCAGCCATTGCAGATCGCATCAGTTCTTTCTCACTCTCAGCTGCAAAATTGAAATTAAAATAATTAATGAAGAATAACATTATATACAAACATATTAAACAATTTTAAATTGAAGAGTAAATTGCAGCAAGCTTAATTTTAAATTTAAATAAAAGATGGATATTAGCAAGCTTCTTTTCGGTAAGTGAACAGTGAAGGCTTACATTGAATTGGCAGAAGTTACTTAAGTTGTAGACTATCTGTTATAAATTTGACAAACATTTCTACACCCATCGGAAAATTGGTTTAACATTGAATTGTATTCTGATAATTTCATACAGCAAATACTAACAATATGGTTCAATATGTTTGAAAATTATAAACAGTATAGGAATGCTGACCTCAAAAAGTAATATCTAGGAATAGGAAAGAAATATCTAGTAATAGGAATGCTGGCCTCGTTTCTTTTTAAATGACAAATCGATTTAAAAGATAGATTCAAAATTAATTAAAAAAGCTTTTTAACCGATTTCTTCTTTCTTTTAAATTGATTTACGGCTATAAAGAATAACTGTATTATTCTCGCATATGTCATTTTTTTAAGCACAGGTGTCTTTAACGTATGTTACTTAGGCAAATACTAAAGTAAAAATATATCTTTTTCTGTGTGTTGTTGATGTGTTAGTTCATTTACGTCGCACTAGAGCTGCACAATGGGCTATTGGCGACGGTCTGGGAAACAAGCCATCACAATTTTGATCCTCTGCAGAGGGGATGGCACCCCCGTTTCGGTAACCCAACGACTTGCACGCGAAGTCGAGCTCTTTACGGTCTGGTTCTAGNGTGCCAATCTAGTAGGTAATAAAATCTAGACTTAGTTGAGAGTACTGTGATTGATCATCCCCATGCCCATGAAAAGGGGGAAGCAGAGACATTCGGTGAAACACCCCTGACACGTTACGGGTTCACACTTTAATGAGGAAAAATACTGAACACCCTCAGTCCCTACGCAGAGTGATCCAAGTGGTCTCCCACCCGCACACTGATCTCAGCCAGTGATGCTTGACTTTGGTATTTTTCTGTGTGATAAAAACATCTGAATGCGTGGACATATGAATAAAAGAATAAATATTATTTACTAATAAAACTAAATTTTTTTTTAATCAAGCAAACAAATATTGTAAAAAGAAATATTTTTTCAAAAAACTTATATTTATAAGTTAAACATATATAGAAATTAGATAAATTAAAAAGTTTAAAATAAATAAATTAACAAATAAAAGTTGACATTTAGCACAAAAACTAGCTTTAACTAGTGGTAGAAAAAAAAATGAATTTCGGGCAAATAATATAAAAAAATCAGTATTGATAAAAGATGCTTTAAAAATTAGCGGTACAATCCTACAAAAGATATATGGAAATCTCTAAAAATTTGTCACTTTATTTTCCAATCGTACAATGATTATTTTTATTCTGTTGACAAACAATAAACATTAACTTTTCTATAAAACATTTCTCCAATACATCTTCAATGCATCAAAGGATTCATTACTATGCGGACTTGCGCGTTCTTGAGGATACAGAGATTACAGAGATAGTGTCAAGTAAAAGGTTAGGTTTGAAAGTTAGTCAGGTTTAAACCTATGCACGTACTTGAGGTTAACAGAGATTAACTTATGTCAAAAGTAAGTAAGTTTAATAAATTCATAATTACAATTTTTATAAATTTTTCCAAAAATTACTACAATAAAAGAGTTATAAATTGATTACTAAAACTTAATCTAATGAACTTCCGTTAGAAAACAAAAGGGTAACATACTTACAAAAGGAGAAAAAAAAAAGATCTACTTACTGTAAATATCATCAAAAATATAAGGAACTATTTTGTTTGGCCATCTGAGCGTTTTCTGCGTGGTAGCAAATTTGTCCTATATGAAAATGTAAAGTTTTCTGTAACAATCAAATTTAATGCTAGAAGTTTCATACTTTTTTGCTATTTTTCAATTTTAATTTATTTTTAGATTTTATTTTATTTTTAGAGGCATTATAAGTAAAGTATAAGCAGAGGCCTCATAAAGAAGTTATGATGCGTCATAAGGTATTTACGAAGTAAAATAAATTGAGGACTTCGTCTATACTTCAAGTATAAAAACTTTGTTAATAATCTTTCAAAAATAAAAAAATACAGACACGAGTTTTTAATAAAAAATATTGTTCACTAGCGAATTTAAGATGTTCGAAAGAGACGCTTATATTACTAGGAAAATCTAATCAAAAATAGTTGTATAAATGAAAAAAGTATATAAAACCTTCCGCAAACGTCATTGGTAGACGGATCATGGGTTAGAGTCCCCTTGCCGTTAGGCTAACCGTGAAAGGTTTTCGTGGTTTTCCTCTACAAGAACGCAAACGTGGGTTAGTTCCATCAAAAAGTGCTCCAAGAAGGCAAAATTTCGCCTAATTCTTGACCCAGGGTTCACAATTACAAGGCTACGGAGTTGAACATTAGTAATCGTAAACCTAAAAATTGGGTCAACAGTTCAACGGCAGTTATAAAATGAAGTACAATTTTTTTTCAAAAATGACAAAAAATATACTTCACATCTGCAGTTCGTAAACTAATGAACAATCAGAGGAAAAACATAAACGTTTTTAAAACTTAAAATATCATTTATTAAATTGCTTGAGTCAAAAATAATAAATCAATTTCAAGAAGAAACTGACAGTAATTGAAAAATTATTTGAAAAACTTTGATACTCATAGGTCAATCAGTTTTAATTTTTAATCTTGTCTTCTTTAATAGCGATTCCATTTAGCTTGTAAAGTTTTTTTTTCTTTGTTTAGATACAATAAATTTTAAACGTCTAGTATTGCATGCTTTTTAAATTTTGTTTTTCACAAGAAATCTAAAACTTACTTTAAGCGAGCTCATTGATTTAAGGCATTATTTTAAAATATTACAAGAAAAATAACAAATTCTAGTTTTGCCTCATTCCTTCGATAAATTGTTTTTTCCCACTTCTAAATACGAATTTATGTAATAAAAATATAAATTCGATTCACTTCTCCTATACTGTAAATCAGGGGTCCCCAACCTTTTTGTACCTAAGAGCAAATACCAGAATATCGGTCGAGTGGCGGGCACCATTTATTTTTTCAAGATAANACCCATGTTAAGCTTCCATTACGCAAGTAGATATCACCTTGGAAAAATTCGTCATGGTCTAAAAAGAAATAAATGAAAACAAAAATATAGTAAAATCAATAGTCATAGTCAAAGTTGTCAAGCATAATTATGAATGGAAAAAGACTATTTAAGTTTGAGATACCCCAGTGATTACCAATAGGCAGCACGCTGGCCCCATCTGGCCCGCGAAGTCTTTTTTGTGACCCGCGAATTAAAATATATTAGTTGTCATTTTTTTGCGGACAATTTTCGTAAAAATCTATACGTGTTTAAAATACTTTTCTTTCGTTAAAAAAAACCCTAATTTCTTTGAAATTTAACATACCAACGGTGCAAAAAAATTTATTTCTCATNTCATTCTGAAGATCCAAAATTTCTATCTCCACTTCTCGCCTTACTTGAAGAAATTCTGAAATGTGTATTGCTATTATGGTTACATTTATTTGGTTGGTAAAAGGATTTACAAAATATATGATCAAATATCTTGATGATATTAAACTGTTGAAAGCGCTTTTCAAATTGATCATGTATGGAAAAAGCACAAAAGACTTCATTTTCAAATGTGATATCCACAAAACTAGCTTAGCTCTGAACGAGTTTATAGCCCCTACCATTCTTGCTATATGTTTGTCTATTCCCTGCAGCTCCAAGTTTTAATTACTTAATTTTTCCGTTAGGTCCGTTATGAAAGACAAATCTGTTAGCCAAAGAGGATCTCTTAGATCTAAAAATTTTTGATTTTTGGATGCAAGATAATTTTTTATTTCTTCAGATAAATCTAGAAATCTATCAAGAACTTTACCTTTACTGAGCTAGCGTACTTATGTATGTATTTGCATAGCATTTTATGGGGAAATGGAAAACTGAAATATTTTATCGTTGGGCACAAGCAACGGGCGCACCTAGACCGATTGACGGGCGCCATGGTGCCCGCGGGCATAGGGTTGGGGACCCCTGCAGTGTAAATAAATAAAAAAAAAGCTGCGTTTAATTTTTAATAATAATATGAGAATTTGTTTTCTTAAAATAATAACATATTGTCGAAGAAATTTGTTTCAAAACAAAAATTAAAATCTCACCCATGTTAAGCTTCCATTACGCAAGTAGATATCACCTTGGAAAAATTCGTCATGGTCTAAAAAGAAATAAATGAAAACAAAAATATAATAAAATCCATAGACATAGTCAAAGTTGTCAAGCATAATTATGAATGGAAAAAGACTATTTAAGTTTGAGATACCCCAGTGATTACCAATTGGCAGCCCGCGGGCCCCATCTGGCCCGCGAAGTCTTTTTTGTGGGCCGCGAAATAAAATATATTAGTTGTCATTTTTTTGCGGACAAATTTCGTAAAAATCTATACGTGTTTAAAATACTTTTCTTTCGTTAAAAAAAAACTAATTTCTTTGAAATTTAACATACCAACGTTGCAAAAAAAAATTATTTCTCAGGTAAAAATCTACTTTTTATTTTGATTCGTAATTCAGCACTTTTGTTTTGTACAACTTGATAAAAATCTGACAGTAATATTTAATGTTCCTTCAAACATAAAAGAGTCCTATATAAAATTCTGATAAAGTTGCGACCCGCCATTTGACTGATGTTTTTAATTGCGGCGCCCGGCCTTAAGTAAGTTGGAAAACCCTGGGATATCCTAATAGTTTTAGTCATGCAATTAAAGCTTCTTTCTTTTTTTTCCTTTTAATATAAATATTTTTTACAAGGAAACGTTTACCTTCTTTCTAATATAATGCAATTCATATTGAAACTAAGCAGTAACTTTGTATAAAAATGGCAGACTGAATACTAAAATTTTAATGTTACTGAAGAATATTCTTCAATAAATATCACAAATATGCATCGCGAAATTTATATTTTAAAGACATTAGTATTTTTCCTATCAGAACTGACAGCTAATATTGGCTTTAAGATAGGCAAAATATGCATATGCTACATAGTGAATAGGTACTATATAATGAAAAGTCTTTCTTTTATGCAGTAAAATCTTTTTTTTCTCTCAAAAAAGCAAACTAATAAATCAAACTAATTCCGTATCAGTTTTATATACTCGTATTATTTCCTCCGTGAAACTGTTATTTTCATTAAATACGCTTTATTGCATGATTTGAAAATATGGCTTGTCATTACACTATCACGATTTAAAAGACATTGATTAAAAGTTTTAAATTAAAAATGTACAAACTCTATGCAGGGGTTTTTGAAGAAAAAAAATAGTAATTTCCAGGAAAACGCTTTAAATGCGACTGACTATAAGACATAATAAGTAAACAGGTTTGTAAATGTTACAGATCGATATAAACTTTCAATGATACCATGTGATCAAAAACTATGATTTTTAGACTATGATTTTGCATGCCCTCTAATTGAACTCGTTACTGTTATTTCACTAAAAGTGTTATTAAAGTTTAAAAGCTGTCCATTCTACTGCGCTAAGAATTCGAATATTTTTTTTTCTGAGTATGTTCTTTATTTTATTTTTTCATGGTAATGTATATCACATTATTGCATTGTTTTTCAAAAAGTAATTTAGTTTTTTCCCAACAGAGGTATTATTATATTTTTATCAGTCAACTTAAGCCGCATAATCATAATATATTTGGACACCTGATACAGCAAGACTTGCTTGTGAAAAAGTTTGATTAATTCTATGCAGTACTTTTTTGTTGATGCTCTTTCAAGTATGGAAAGATAAAAGCAGAATTTTCGGTCCATTTTAATTTTTTAAAATCAAAAAGCTAAAATACCTATTCAAGCAAGAAAGAAAAAATTACCGATGTGTTTGTTGAGAATGTGTTGATAGTGCGCCAGTGCCAAAACTGGCTTGCAAAATTTCGATTAAGATGTACTTAGATGCGCCACACTAGTTTAAACTGAAGAAGACACAATAAGGGCAATAACTGAAACCGGCGAATAACAACTCTTGATAAAATTTTATCGAATTCTATCGTTCATGATAATTTGAAAAACCTAATGTCTAATCTCATATGACAGCATCATCGACACATGAGTTCCTCATGTTCTTACCGAAATAAATTTGTGCTTCTCAAACGTCAAGAAAATTATCCATTTTTGATAGCATCATCACTGGGGATGAGATATATGTTATCTACAACAATGATCCAATCTCTATGGATGGTGTTTTCAACACTAGGGAACGCTGCAAGCTCCATACCACCTATACTTTCGGGTTACTGTGTATTTTAGAGCTATTTGGCTCACAACGCGATCATTGGGTTTTGAGATTCTTGCAAGCGTGGTATTTGATTACTTATTACTTGTTTTTACAATGCTAACAATACTTGTGTTTACAATGCTAAAGGTACTAACACTAACGTAAGAGGTGCACAGCTTGCAAGAAGAACAAACAGTAATAAACAAGTGGAAAGAGGCCAAATCAGGACTGCCAAAAAAGCGTGTTATTTAAAATCTAGCAACCATGTCATTTTTTTTAACAATATATCTATAAACAACTAAAACAAATTTTCACCAGAAATTTTCATTCAAACTCACCAGAATTACTTTAACATTAATATCTCATGAAATACGACATATTTGAGCTCAGAATTTATCTAATTTATTTCCTTTATTAAAAAGAAAATTATCCGTTTGAAAATATCGCCTCGCAGAATAAGCTGTAGTAAGTAGTTGCAAACTTTCTAACCGGGACTAAAGAAGGTATTGAGCTCGAGATTGTTATTGTTTATATTTATAATGAAAACACCCTCCATAAAACATTTTTTAACAGTAAAAGCCTTATTTCGAATGGCGAGTTCAAAAATCACCGAGATCAGTTTTTGCCAACAAAGAACAAAAATTTTATACGCGTGGAATCATGACTACTGCCCAGAAAAATGGCAAAATGTATTGGACTAGAATGTATATAGGTTTCAAATATTTATTCACTTTAAGAACATCACTGTTCCTTTTCATAAATAAAACGAAATTATTTTCTGAGCTACTCAATGTTTTTATTTATTTCATTTTATTTTTAAACGGTAGCACTAGGAATGGAATTCATTGTTGACGATCACAACTCTCTGTTGCGTAATATTTAGACAGGGTGCGTAGCCAAATTACTCAACAAAAAATAAGCACTTTCCAAGCACTCAAAAAATATTTTTAAGCACTTTAAAAAATATCATAATTACGCAGGGTTGGAAAGTTTTTGACTCTTAACGGTTTTATCTTGTTTCAACCATCATGTCAAAAAAAAAAAAGAAAAAAAAGAAAAGAAAACCTTTTGGCATTGTTTTTGACAATTTTCAAAAATAATGACATTTTGAATCATGTAAAACGAATAGCGTTTTCATAAACTACGCTACGGACTAACAATACGCCGAAATAGATTGGGGGTTGAATGAATTGTGAAAACGTTGAATAGACCAATGTGAACTGTCTTTTTGCATAATTCGAAGCGAAAATCAACATAGTAAAGGAAAAATCTCATTTTGAAAAAGGGAAAATTAAGCACTTTTTAAAAACACCCTATAAAAAAAGCACCTTTAAAGGCTTTTAAAAAACGAAAACCGAAAATAAGCACCTTTAAGCACTTTTTAAAAACGCTATGCACCCTGTTAGAGGAATATAGCATTTGGCAGACGTGCCAACNAAAAAAAAGAAAAGAAAACCTTTTGGCATTGTTTTTGACAATTTTCAAAAATAATGACATTTTGAATCATGTAAAACGAATAGCGTTTTCATAAACTACGCTACGGACTTACAATACGCCGAAATAGATTGGGGGTTGAATGAATTGTGAAAACGTTGAATAGAACAATGTGAACTGTGTCTTTTTGCATAATTCGAAGCGAAAATCATCATAGTAAAGGAAAAATCTCATTTTGAAAAAGGGAAAATTAAGCACTTTTTAAAAACACCCTATAAAAAAGCACCTTTAAAGACTTTTAAAAAACGAAAATAAGCACCTTTAAGCACTTTTTAAAAACGCGATGCACCCTGCTAGATGAATATAACATTTGGTAAACGAAATAATAAATTTAGGTTCAGCACAAGACATTTTCAGTAAAAAAAAAAAAACAGTAATGCATGAATACTCACAGTTTTCAGAAGGATAAATAGGTGGATTTGTTTTACAAAAATCAACTACAGTACCAAGCACTAACAGAATCAAACAGAACATTTTATAAAGTATACTTCGATCCTTAATTAATTTCAAAGGAAAAGAAAGTTAACTTAAAAATTTGAATGAGAGTACAAACACCTGGTGCGGTTCGATAGTCATTATTGATATTCTTCGGCAGATAAGAAAATTATTTATGTCTTCAAAGATAAAAGTTAGAATACTTAAATTCCTGAATCAATACAAAAGAAAAATGCTTACCAAACACAAAAGTACTTGCATTTGGAATTTCGAAACTAAAGGTTAATGTTCACGTTTATTCAGTGCACATTCAGGTTTATTTTGTAGCCTTAAGATATAATGTTTCAGTGATAAATCATGTCAAAATGACCAAAGACGCAGCAGCAGACATTTACAGAGATAGGGGACAAATCTGTTTTTGCATCTCCTTGCACTACGACGCTGTTTGGTTAAAAGAGCCAAGATCTTCAGAATCATTTTAAGAATTAATTTAAAAGCTTGATTTTTTTATGTATTTTATAACCGTCGTTGAACAGTCGACCTAATTTTTGGGTTTACGACTACTAATGTTTAACTCCGTAGCCTTGTAATTTTGAATCCAATACAGAAAACAAGGGAACTCCAGAATCAAGTTTTTTTTAAAGAAATTTGCCTTCGTGGATGACTTTTTGATGGAACTAATCCTCATTTGCGTTACATGGAGAGGAAGACCACGGCAACTTCCAATGGTTAGCCTAACGGTAAGGGGACTCTTAACCCATGATCCGTCTGCTACTGACGTTATTTCACGTCAGAACTGGGGTCGGTGCAAGTCGGATGCGGAATTCGTATCAACCAGTCATTGCAAGGATTCGAACTCGGTTCACCTTATTGGAAGGCGAATCCTCTATCGCCTGAGTCAATTTTCAAGATTCATTTATCAGGGTGCGTAGCCAAATTTTTCAACAAAAAATAAGCACCTTTTAAGCACTCAAAAATATTTTTCAGCACTTTCAAAAAAATGTATAATTAGGCAGGGTTGGCAAGTATTTGACAATTGACGGTTTTAAATGTCATGTCAAAAAAAAACTTTAGTTTTGCAGGCATAGTTTTCGACAATTGTTAAAAATCATGAAATTTTGAATCACAAAACGAATGGCGTTTTCATACGATAAGGACCGACGGTACGGCGAAATAGAGTGGGGTTGAATTAATTGTGAAAACATTGAATAGAACAATATGAACAGTCTTTTTGCATAATACGTAGCGAAAATCAACAGGGTAAAGGGAAAATTAAGCACTTTTTAAAAACACCCAATGAAAAAAGCACCTTTAAGGGCTTTTAAAAAATGATAATTAAAAATAAGCACCTTTAAGCACTTTTTAAAAACGCTACGCACCCTGTTTATACATCAATTATAGCACATTGTTGGATTCTTGGTCATACATTCAATTTCGTTAATGCCAAATTTTTTTTCCACCCTTGTCACTTAAGCTCATCTTGATGCCCTGGAATCTTATTTCATTCATATGAATGTCAATTCTGTCGTTAACAACACGAGTTCCTCACCGCTTTCCTTTAGCTCATGAATGCATTTTGTCCTGATTTGCCTCCCTTGTCAAACTGCAGTTTTCCTGGTTACGTCCTTTGACCTTTTTGTTATTTTAAATTTTTTGTTTCACTCCCAGCTACTAGCTTTTCTAGTTTTGCTTTTCACTTTTATTTTCCAATTTAGGTTTGCTACTTTAAGTTTTCAGTTTTAAATAACATTTTTTCCCCTTACTCACATCTGACGATTCCCGAACATTAAAAGATGTCAACTTTAAATACCATTATCATAAATTTTGAAGCAAATGCAGTTTTATATCATCAAGTATATCATTCCACTTCAGTTTCTTGGGATTATCCATTTAAATGGTTTTCCCACTTTAGCCAAAATAAATTAGTACTTATATGTGTACTTTCAACAGCATTTCATAGCTTTATAACTATGTCATTTCATTATTAATAATCAATGCCACAACAAAAATTATCAATAACATCAACTTTAATTTACATTTATATAGTTATAATAATTTTTACAAATGAATTGTATTGAAATTTTTTTAACAAGTTGACAAACAACTATTAGAAATATCATAATATTAATTATTTATATTGACAGGGTGCTTAGCCAAATCTTTCAACAAAAAATAAGCACCTTTTGAGTACTTTTTAAGAACTTAAAATTTATTTTCAAGCACTGTATACATCAACAAAATGCAAAATAATTTTCAAAGACTTTACATGATCATGATAAAATAACTAGTTTCTGACAAAGAACTCTTTTCTTGATATTAGCCATTATAAAATGATCATGAGATTTGTCGGTTCGATACCAGAAAGTGGAAAATGAAGTCTGAAATTGAGAATATCTTGCAAAATGCAGCAGAGTTGCACATGAAAGTGCAATAATCTCACTGAACCCAGCTGAGTATTTATGCACATACGGACTCACAAGTATTTCATCAAGCATGTAAAATGATTGGCGCTTTCATACGCTGAGAACCGACGATAAGTCGAAGTTTGAATGAATTGTGAAAACATTGAATAGAAAAATGTAAAGTACCCTTTTGCATAATACGCAGCAAAACTTGACATGGTAAAAAAAAAAATCTCATTTTCGAAAAGGAAAAATTAAGCACTTTTTAAAAACAACCAATGAAAAAAAGACCCTTCAAGGGCTCTTACATAACGAAAATAAGCACTTTTTAAAAACGCTACTCACCAGGATTGATCTATATCATTGTATTTCTTTTTTTAAAAAAACTGCAACTTTTCTATCAAAGAATAATAATTTCAAAACTTAAAACCTTAACAAACTTAATCTATCAGGTAATCTTCTATCACCAGAGTTATTATTACTGCAATAACTTATTTATTAACTACAATAACAGAGTACTTTAAGAATAAAATTCAAATTGCCTTTTTTTCCCCCTAAATGCCCTTTTTCCCCAAAAACAAAGATCTTTCATAAAATTTCACAATTAAACTTAATAATTTTAAAAAGTGGAAAAAAATCTAATAGCCTTTTAAGGATGTATTGTATAACAATATTTACTCCTCTAACAATATAATTATGTTTTCTTTCAGAAATAACTCTTTAAAGAAATAGAAATATGGAAAACTATCTTAAAACAATTTTAAGGGAGTAAACTGTAAACTAATATGCTAATTCTTAGGGTATATGAAAAAGGAGGTCAAAACAACTAAAATTAAACTTAATTTTATTTAAAAAGAAAAAGGATAAGTTATTTACAAAACATCATAAAGATATTTTAAAATTCTTCCACTTTTCTTCTCTTTTTCTTTTTTTTCTCTTCAGGAAATAATATAGATTCTGGCTCAGGCTCAGGAATTTCTGGTTCTAAATAGCGCTTACTTTGCAATTTTCTTTGATATTCTATGATCTAAAATAAAAGATGTAATACAGGATATTAAAATCAAAGTTACGAACAAATATTTCAATTTTTTTTTTCATGCACATAAAATTAACGACTGCACTATATGAGGTTAAAAATAACTCTAATTCATAAAAAAATGGAGTGGAAAACTTTTGTTAATGTCTTTACTACAAACTAGATCAAAACTAGAGATGTATTGGATACCAGGAAAAGTTTTCAATACTCGAACATGGCAAATAGTTTCACTGCCTAGTACTTTACAGGGTTTTTAAAGATGGGTAAAGCTCATTTATGTTCGAGATAATCCTATTTAGATTTAGAGTAACATTAAAATTATTCATAAAAATATTAGCAGTTTTGAAAATCCATGTATTCTTAATAATCTAGCTGAAATAACTTGAAAGTGAATGACATATTTTACTCTTGTGCAGAATTTCAATTCAGAATAACCATGGTAAAGAGGACATATTTGGGACAGAAAAATATGTTAGCTGAGAGAGAGAGAGTCAGGGTTGGGTTTTTACCGGCAAAAACCATGGGGAAAATGGGAAAAACCTAATAAATACTATTAACTCATGTTTATTTAGTTGCAGATATAATGGTTTATTACTTATAACTGATACTCTTTACTTCGATTTATAACTCTTACTCTTTAGCTCAATACATTCAACAAGTCTGATTAAAGTTTTCTGATGGTCAGGTTAAAAACGGGAGGTTTTCGTGGTATTTTTCTCGCTCTACATTGCAAATACCCATTAGTTTCACTGAAAAGTTTTTAATAAAAACATTTTTTGTTTTGTTTGTTGATCCAAAAAATACACAGATAGATTCACAACATTTAAGTAAAGCAAAACCGTGGTATAAATCTTCTGCTCAACATTAATTATAAGATAAATTTTGCATCAAGAAGTTTAAGAGATTGTACTAAGGTAAATTTCATTGCAGATAAATTGGGCAATATTTTAAGAATTTTTTTATTTATAAATTTGAACTAAAAATAAAAACATTTTATTTTCTTATAACTATATCTTGTATAATATTTATTTGATAGGAAATTATATGACTTTTCCATTGTTTCAAATAAATGTTATGATAACCAGGCGGGTAATAAATCTAAATTTAACCAGGTACCAAAGAATCGGCCAAGTAAGAAACGAAAATTTTATCGGGCACCCAAAGCTGACCAGGTAAAAGATTTAATTTTCACTGGGTACAAGAACCTGGTACATTTTTTAATTAAAAAAAAATACATACAAAAAATTTTCTTTACTTGGAACTAAAATTTGTTAGCAAATTTTAGCTTTACAACCAACTCATAATGTTTTATAAATAATAATTACATTTTAACCAATAAATCTCTAGATAACATATTCCAAAAAACTTAAATTCAGGGGGGGGGGATCTCATGAATGTGAAAAATCTCTAATGCAACTCCATTGCTTCTTTTTTATCATAACTATTGCTGTAACATAGGTTTTATTTCTTTTTTAGAGAAAATAAGTTTTGTTAATGTTTCTTTTGATTTCAGTTTATCAATGAAAGATATTCTCAACAGCAAGTATATTTAAGTTAACTCGTTCTATTTTACATTAGTAACAATTAATTGAAAATTGTCATTTTATTATGAGATATCTGAGGCAAAACTGGATTAAAATCATATAAGATTCAAAACATACATAAAATAGAGAATAGCATCAATAAATAGTCATGTTGTTATTTCAAATGCCATTTGCCAATACCAGCAATCCTGCTGTGGGAAAACAAGCAAATTTAAAAAATGGGTGTGTTTCTTGTTTTCAGTGGCGTCATCTTTGGACAAGAATATGCTTTCAGCCACACACGCATCACAGCCTGTTTTACAGGGAGAACTTATTCATATTTTTTATTCACTCATTCACAAATCACAATTTTGACCTGAACCAGAGCACAATCAATCTCTAATTCAATACCCTAAAGGTTATAAGTTATAGGAACATGAAGGACTCTGTGACCCCAACAGATTAAACGAGCATCTGTCACCATTTATACACGAGGATTCTTCGGCCAGCGGGATCGAATCTTACAAGCACAAGCCTAACATCCTACCAAATAGGCTATAACGGCCCTTGATAGAAAAAGCAATAGTCATTTACGTTAAAACCAAAACTAAACTGAACAAAATAACTTTAAAAAAAGTAAAAACTAGAAAAATTTAAGAAGTTTATACTGGAAACAAAAAACTTTAAAGTAAAAAAAAAGAAAGAAAAAAGATTAACAAATGTAATATTTAAACTAGAACGATAGAAAGAACATTTTGATCAAACTGCGACAAACAATTATTTAAAAGAAAATAAAAAATTATTAATATAAAGATGAAATATAGATTTCATGTGAAAATAATCCATAATAAAATATGACAGATTAAAAATATGAATTATAACTATTGATAAAATGATCAAAAGGAATATGTAAAACTATCTTTGAAAAAGTTACATTTATAAACAATATAAGGTGGTGCAACGATGTTACACCAAAAAATAAGCAACCACCGTAAAGGATTATTCTACTAAAATATACAAGCAGATAAAGGGTTAGAGTATTATAAAGGTAGAAAATCCAAAACTATTACAAGTAAAATGGAAATTGAATACCAAATATAAGCAAAAATAGAATGAATAATTAGAATTTTTTTTCATAAAAAACAAAGACATGACAAATTATGAAAACAAAATTACATTAAAAAATAAAATAAAATTACTAAAAAAATATATCTAACCAAGCAGGATTACATTGATTCCAGTGGAGAACTTCAGTTTAAAGGGGTAGCCCAAAAATTCTTTTTATTTGTACAGGTAAATCAGTGTTTTTAAGGGTGCCGTTGTCAGGGAAAAGCTATTGGTTCTTTAAACAACTGCTTATGTTTTTTATACATGATTTGAATTGGAATTACCATTTAACGTTTACAACTATTTTCTATTTAATATTAAAAATTACTAATGGGTCCTAGATTTTTTTAAAGGTGAAAACGAAACATATGTTTTAAATTTAATACAATTAAAAAAAATAAGAAAAAAATACAGTGAATGTTCAGATGCATCAAAATAAATAAAGAATATAATAATAAAAAAAACTTAAATTTCAATTAATTATTTCAGAAAAGAATTTTAGCTATATGCGATGATGCAAAAAAAAAAAAGAAAGAATAACAATTTAAATACTATACACTTGACCCATGTGATCAGTACGAAAATGGAAGTTACAGCATGAGGTCACTGTATTTAAAATGCCAAAAATACATTTAAATTTTTCAAATGACATCTTTTAGTGTAACACATAAACTATAGTCAGTCATTCAGTGTACTTTTTTTCTTTTTTTTGAGATTTTGAAATTTAACTTCACAAGAAGGATATCATGAAATCATAACACTTTGTTCTTTTATTTTCAGAATTACAACATGATTTTTAATTATTGTAAAAAAAAGTACTTTTCCAATTCTTGAATCATTTAACAATTTGAGATTACAATATTATCCTTTTATCACCTTCCTTTAAAATTTCCATTCTAAGCAAACAGCATTATACTGGTTAAGAGCAGCTATTTTCACTAAATAACATATGCCATAGAAAAGAATAAAACCAAAGTCAAGAAAAATTAAAATGATACCATGTGTTTTAACTCCAAACTAAACCACCTCTTACAACACTTCCCAAAAAGAGTGAATACAATTTTTAAGCAAGAAAATATAATTGATGTACATATTGAACCTTTTGAAAAGAATTTTCGAAAGATTTTGAACAGACAGGAAACTCTGATTTCTAAATGACGGTGCAATATATATTTCAAATTCCAAACAATCGTAAATAATCAATACATTAAAAAAATTTTTCACCATAGATTTTGCAAAAGGATCTCCTAGGTTAAAAATGGGTGGGCCATCCAAAATAGAATAGAAAACTTACAAAATAGAGATTTAAATAGCTTTTCGAAACTTTTATTATCGAATGACTTGTTGTCAATGGAGAAATTTTTGTTTCAAAAATAGAAAACTATCTAACACCTGTTTTTAAAGTGATCTTTAGGGAACTAAAAAAAAAGAAAAAAAAAGAAAACAAAATTTTGATTGCTGTATTGATATGAATGGTTCAGTTTGTATGTTCTAATGGGTGTTAAAGTAAGATTGCATCTATGGAGTATCAAACAGGACTTCATATAGCAGTCGTAACAATGGAAGGATTGCAATACTCAAGGATTGTACTAAAGGGTGTAAAATGTATAATTTAGGACATAAGGAAAAAGTCTAAAATAAATGGGAGACAGTATATAAATTTCACAGTATAGTTGCCAACATAAATAGGAAAAAAATCCAGTAGATTTTATGAAATAATATAAATTTCGTGATAATTAGTGCAAAGTGTACTAAATATTTCACATATAGGAAATTTTAAAGATTTTTATAGTCTCTGAAAAAGAAAAACTGCATAATTTTCCAGTTATGATTAACATTAAATGAACTTGAAATATTATGTATTATGTTTATTCATAATTTACAATAGTAATAGACATTTAATTCATCAAAGATAGTTAAAAGATTTTTAATTAATCTGAAAAGGGAGTCTCAACAAACTCAACATTTTAGAACAAAAAAAAGTTTTAAACTGATTTTTGTATTAAGGCTCACTTTATTATGTATTAGTAATACTTATTCAAATATTCAAGCAAATAATTGTCAATGCCAAATCTCTACTTCAGTAGGGATTTCCTAAAAACACAGATTCAATTTTGGGAAGTTTTTAAAAATATACAAAAAAAAAGAAGATAATTTTTATTAAACATGTAGACTAGGAGAAACAGACAAAATCTATAGTCTACTGGAAACTCCAGTAGAGTTGGAAACTATGTCACATGTTTAGAAGAAAAAGAAATACATTTTTTTATCATGTCTACAGAACAGGTTCCAGCTCTGTTTGTCTAAATGCACTGTTAATGCAATGCCTTTTAGATGCACTGCTGATTAATTCAGATGAAAATAAATGCAAATAATTACATTTTTACTAACAAATAAGCAATAAAACAAGCACTTCAAAATATTTATAAGAAATAGTGATTTAAAAAGAATAATATAAAATTAAACTAAAAAAGAGGGAAAAAATGATTGATACCAATAAAGATTAATTTCTAACTAAAACAATGTTATTGACACAATATCATTAATACAATACTTAAAAACTTAAGTAGAATGGAACACACACTAGAAATTTTCAAAGAATATGAGCTGAAATTTATAATAATGAAACTATAAACAGTCAGTTTACCATAACTCTAAGGTCATAGCCCTTTTATGATTAGTTCTTTATTAATTATTCTCAATTATTTTATTTTTCCTTCTCTTTAATTTGATACTTTAAAAGAATGACTATCTTTCATAGCTAAATTAACCAATACAAAGAGAGATGCCCCTTCTTTTGCAATCGATTCAATGACGAGTCAGCGTAAAAGAAAACGATAAAACCTTCTTTCATTTGTTTGTGAATTGTCAAAATATCAACACTGCACTGAATTTCATTGAAATTTGAAGATCAGAGGATACAATGCATTCAAATTTACCTCATTCATTTTAAACACACCAACTTCTATCTGAGAAATGATGTCAGAAAAAAAGTTAAATAATATTGCCTTGGAAGTAAAATTTTCATTAATGATGTGAATAGAAACCCAAACAAGAGAGCAAAAAAAAAAGAAAGAAAGAGAGCTTTGAAATATGGGATTTATTTGTTTGAACAGTTTTAAGAGTAAGCAAAGATAGCGCATAAGAATTATTTAAGAAAAAATTATTTGGCACAGAATAATTGTTAATCACAGACAGCAAAGGTTTCTCAGCACATCAAATTATTTAAATTACCAGGATTAGCTGATAAATATTAAGTATCGCATATATATCATAATATATTCACACTTTTTACTTTAAAATAAATAGAATGGTAAATGTAAGTTTTGATATTGTTAGAAATAGCAAGCAAATAAATTCAGCAGAATCACAATAGATTAACTTTTCAGTTAAAAAAAAAATCATCTGGAAAAGAGTAATTCAAAATATCCCAATTTCAATTTAAGATTTTTTACAATATGTATCTGTCCTATCTACATTACTCTAAAAAGTCCATGTTTGAAGATGAACCCATAGTTCAGTGGAAAATTATTAAACTAGGGTGAGAGTTGAAAGACAAAATATCTAATAAATTAATTACAGCATCTCCTAAGACACAAACAAATATTTTCTAGTTTCTGACTAGCTCAGTTTAAATAGTACAATGATTCAGATATAAAAAAAGCAGACAATGTTTTTCAGTTAAATATAAAGAAAAAAACAATTTTTGGTGTTTTCAGCTAAATAAAATTCATGTGCAGTCTAAGATTGCTGAAATAAAGACAAAAAAACCAGTTAATATTTGAGAAATTTTTACTGTTTCCTAGTATTCAATTTTATAAAAATTGAAGTACTGAAAGTAAAAAAGGAAACTAAAATAAAATTTGGATAATAATAAAATATAACACTTTGTAAATGGCAGATAGTAATTCCAAATCAAACTAAAATGTAAGATATATATCAAAATATTTTTTTTAATATATTTTTGAAAATAACCTAATATATAAACTCTCTGAAAAAACAAAACAAAAAGACACTGTCAATAGAAGAGTTTACTTTTACAGTCATACTTCTTGAAATTTCATCTATATGTATTATACTTATTTGTGAAGTAATTATAATATCTCGTAATTAGAATCGAGCAAAACTAAAACTTTTTAGTAAGAAATATAAAAAAATGCAGGTCAAAACACCACATAAAAATATAAGGAAAAGCATAAATTTTTAAAAATTTTTTACATTATGTGTTAAAATAAACTGTAATTAAAACTCAAAAGAAAACAAATATACTGTTACAAATAATAATATTCATTTTCAGAAACAACTCAAAAACATAACAATTCTCATTCTTAAGATTTTTCAAAACAATGTTACTTACATTGTTGAATTCAATAATTATCAGGCTTTCAAAAGATATACCATAAAATCTATGACGTAATTTAAAAGTTTATTTTAAAGTTTTTATTCAAAATAATTTTCAGAAATTCTTTTTCCAATTTTTTTACATCAACATTGAACTTTGTAGAATCTACGATACAATAACTTAAATAAATTAAAAAGAAAAAAGTTTCTTTTGTTTTAATTTTGAAAAAATCATTACTGTAATAATATTAATGCATAATGCTAGATACCTAATAAGTATTAAGTCTGTAATGGGCCACTGAATTTAATTCATACTGAATGACAAAACAAAAATAAAAAGTTTAAAACAGTTTCATTAAAGTAAGAAAGAATTTTTAGAAAAAATAGAAAATAAAAAGAACAATGTAAATAAATAAAAAATGCTCTAGTAACGGATTAATTAGGGCAAAAAATAAAAATTTCACTTTAAAAAAAAAAAACCTAATAGAAAAATTTTGTTACCTTTTGAGCAGCAGCTGGTTTCGGCCTCAGTTGACTTAACTGTTTTAAAATACTCAGATTCTCTTCAGTTCTATCAATTTTGCTGGAATCTAGAAAATATTTTTTTATAAAAAAAAAAATTTTAATTTAATAAATACAATTAATTAAATTTTTTAATCAATTTAAGTTAGGTACTTAAAAGGTTTATTTCCAATATTCTAAGTATATAATATCTATGTAGGACTTTGGAATGAATAAATAGTATCTACAGATACATACACAACCCAAAGCCTGAATGATTGCGATATGAAATTTCAATCATTCTAAACAGATTTGCACAGAAATTCTTGTACAAATTAATGAGAGCAGGAGGATCATCCCTGTTGGCCTTAAGAGTTTCCTTGACACCAATGCACCTGCTACAACCCTAAGAAAGAGTTTTCTTTCAAAATATCGCTATGTATTGTTGCAATTTAAACTACATATGCAATTTAAACCCCTTGCTTAACACCTTTGTCAAACTCAAGTGCATTTCCATTTCTTCCACCTGTATTTATACTGCCTTTAAGATTTTTCATTATCCTTTTTGTAATTTATTAGTTTTGATGGCTCTCCAAATATGTGCATTGCTTTATACAATTTTTTACTATTGATGTTGTGAAATTCTGGCCTGAAGTTGATGGTATTCATAAAAGCTTTCCATAATTCAAAAAACTGATGTACAGTTCTTCTATTTTGTCAAAATCGACATCAATGTTCTCCCAAAAAGTTTTGCACATTTTCTTTTAATATTTTGTCTGTTAAGAAACTTGATAATATTTTATATGTTGTGTTTAATATGGTTATTCCACTGTAGTTTTTACAAACATACTTATTGCCTCTTTGAACACAGGATAAATAATTCCCAAACTCTTGTCCAGATTTTTTTTATTAGTTCATAATTTATTTCAATCATAATATTTCCTCCATATTTTACTAATTCAGCCAGCAATATTATTAACTGCAAAATTGTAGAAAAAGAATTTGTAGTTGCATGTCAATACTCTTTCAAAATTGATTATAAAAAGTGGTTGAGCCATTAGTTACTAATTTTGAACAATCATAGCAGTGGTGAATCTTGAATAGCACAATTTATTGTGAAAGCAAAAAAATTTAAGCAGCCTATTAATTAGCAACTAAATGAAAAACAATATAAAGCATGGGTTAAAAGTGCCATAATTCTTTGTTTATAAAACATTGAAATCACAAGTCAATTACATACATCAGGGATCTGTTTAGAAGAAATTTGGGTCCGTTAACAAACCCTTCACAATTTTTTTTTTTCCATAAAAACAGACCTTTCACAAAATAATTTATCATTTGATCGGACACCTCACAACTTTGTTTATCTTCATTATTGTTTTGTTAATAAACCTTCTCGGGGGTGGGGGTGGAGAGATGGTTCGAAACGTTTTCTAGTTTCCCTAAGTTTAAATTCCAAATGTAGTATTCTAAGAAAATAATTCTATACTTACAAACGTTGAGTGCACATTCTTATTAATATTAAATGATAAATTTTTTTTGTAAATAAACAATTGATCAATTTATATTTATTCATAAAATTAATTAATAGAATATTATGTAAATAAAAATTAATTTCAGGCAATTTTTTAAATAAAATATTATGAACTTAAGAACTGTTTAAATTTACTTAGTGCGTAACACATTAAAAGTGATACATAATTAAGTTGTGTTATTTAAAATATGTCAATTGAAATTATTAAAATTTTGAGCGATTTTGTTTGCATTATTCATTCGAAATGAATATTCTGTGTTGAGCAGTATAGGCTAAATACCAAATATTTGTATGTTGCATCTCTAATTTAGTAGCAGCAATTGTTGAGCAGAATCTTGCATCTATTTACAACTTAAAAACTTCTTGAAAAGGTTTTTAGCAATATTTGCTATAACAGGACCCTATTTGCACAAATCCACAGAAGTAGGACCCTGGTTGAAAGAATGTGATTTAACACTTATTTTAAATTCACAAATTATGAGTAGTTTTTTTCACAATTTTACAAAAGCAGGACCTTTTACAAAATGTCAGGACAGACCCCTGTACATATTTATTTAAATTATCAACTATTCATACAGATTACTCAATCAATAATGTGCTTTTTTTTTTATCTGAACACTGCTAGAATAAGCTGTTAGTCTTAAATAAGGAAAGATTTCTATAGCTATAAATCATTTAAAACAAAACATGAAAACATTCGGGGGAAAAACATGCATGTAAAAATATAAATATATTTTTATTAAAATATTTATAAAAATATTGAAACAGATAATAATATGCTAGATAGTAAATAAAGACAAAAGCATAGAGAATTAGCAAAGCAGTATAAAATAATTTATATAACCAATCCTAAGTACTTGTAAACCATGACTAGGTACTGTTGCAAACATAAAACATAAACGGATTGTTATTTTTTTCATCTTGTAATTATGATCACAAATTAATTGTTTTAAGCCTATCACCTTTCTCCCAACTATGTACAGTACTGTGAATGAATGATAAAAATTGTAGATGATTTTGACTCTAACCATATAATATAACTATAAATTAAATACTTGAACTCACCTAAATTGGGCTTGCATTTTGGATTACTTTTTCCTATTTTCCAATCAAAGGCTTCAGAATTTGTGGCATATTGTGATCCAAAAGTGTTTTTCTTTTGACAGCATGAATGTTTCTTGGGAAGCTTGGATTTATTATCTAAACATAAAATAAACTGTTACAAAATTATGTTACTACATAATTTTTAAAAAAGGTCATGTGAATACCACTATTATTATTTGAAATAAATATTATAATACTATTTAAATTTTTAATACATATTACCACATCTAATTTTTAAAAGATACTCCACAATTAAGAACAATTTTGCTTTAATATTGCATTATTAAGACACTTAAGCTCATTGAAACCTTGCTAAGGAAGAGAAATGTCTGTGAGGAAGAAGAGAGCAGAGGAAACCACATGAATCCTTAGCCCCTGGTGGTGAGAAAAAATTCCTGGAAAGTTCAAAGGGTTGATTCATTACAATAAGCAGTCCACAGGCTTTTGAATGGCTAATGAGGCCTCCCTTCATTCACCAGGCTCTTCTTTTGCAAGTTATCACTACTTTACATTCTGGAAACAGTATGTACAATGTTACGAATAACCTGAAAGTTAACACAAAAGGAATGATTTCCTTTTTTTTCCTGATCCAATGTGTTTTAGCTCTATAAGGGGTCAGTGAAAGCACCAAAAGAGAAAAAGGATATCATCCTCTAAAGTGTTGGTTTCAAACTAAGGTTTCAATATGCTTTTTCCTTATTTATGCATAAATAGTTTAATTTACTCTGACATTAAAAGGAAAATTATAGCATAAATTTATGAGATAAAAAAGCTTGATTTAATATATATATATAAGGGAAAGAGCATAACTACAATAAGCAACATTTATTAACATACAGGACTTAGTACAGGACACTTAACATACAAGAAAAGGCCATCTGCCTCGTCAGCTTTCATCACATTCGCTGCGTGGGAAGAATCACAAGAATGACAATCTAATCACTGTTTAGTTAAAGGGTGAGGATGTGCGCAAAGGGATGTGTGATGAGGTGCACAATGATGTGTGTGCGCATAAAGTGTGGAATACGCTTCCTCAGAGCTTTAAAAAGCAGTTTAAAGAGATTATCATTCTTAAAAAAAAAGTGTTCCAAAGTAATCCAACTTTCCGGTAACTGCTGATTACCTAATTCCAGAAATAATTTCATAATCAAAATTAACTTTTTCATAATGACTGAATAATGGCTTTGATATTCAATTTATTTCACCTCTATTACTAAAAGCATATAAACATTACTCAGATATTCACAATTCCTCCCCTATTCACAGTTTAGTGATCTCCACTTGAAGTCACCTGTGGTTTAGGAGACTAATTTCAGAGCAGAAAATTTTTTCATACCTCTCGAAAAAACATTTTTCAACATTATTTCCTTTTATTACTTACTTCCTTACATTACTTACTTCCATATTGTTAACAATAGAAAAAAAAATATGCGCTTATATGTTCTCCTTATTTTTTTTTTATGAAAAGTTTGTGAATAACTTAAAAAGTAACTTCATAAACACATTACGAAAACTGCTTTTAAAACATATTCAAAGTTGTTTTAAAAATATTTAATAAAATTTAAAAATAACTTGTTACATCAGGTAGGTCAGTTCGTATGAGAGAAAGTGTTAAAACTTCTCTCGTAGACTAACGTTGAGATGAAGATAGAAGCTGGCTATGTTGCCAATGACCTTAATATAAAAACAAAATAATAATTGTTATCATCTACTTTTTGAACTTTTATTGGGTTAAATGAGTTTAAAAATATAAAAATAAGATAATAGGATTTTAGATACAAGATCATAAATTTTAGAGTACAACACAAAACTTTTAAAATCTTTATAATGGCTAGAAATTTTAAAAAAAGAAATAATTTCTTATTGTCAATCAAAAGTTAGGAGAGAATCAAGAATACTTAAAATCTTTTAAAGCTTACGAAGAAAATTAAGCACATTTTATTGTTTATTTTGTCCAAAGACTATGAAACATTGACAAAAATATAATAAAATGAACAAATTAAGAATTTATAAGTTAAACTTCACAAAGAAAATTTATCAGAAAATAAGTAATCAGGCAAATTATAAAGGTTTTGCTTGTAGCTAGTGAAGTTAAACTAGACAATATCTCAAACAAACATTGATGTGGAACGTACCTACATACTCACAGTATATCCAGGGTGGTCCTAAAACATATGTCAAAAATGTAAAGGTAGGTAGAGGGGACATAAATAAGCATATTTCGGATACGAATGTGTGTGCGGTAATGGCACATTACAGCACTAGCTTGTAAAGCAGTATGAATCAAAGGAAACTGAAAAGACAAGTGAAGACAAAAGAAAATAAAAATTTATCAACAGTTTACAAGAGGTGCTTGAAAGAGCAGCCACCAACAGAGATACAAGATTCACAGCGACGGCGCATGGATCGGCTTACGTTAGAAAAGACGTCGAGCACATGTAAAGCAGCAACAAGATCTTCTTCATATGTAACAGGACTCTCGTTCACCAGGCTTTTAATATGACCCCAAAAGAAAAAATTCAAGCAGATTAATTTAGGAGAACGCGGTGGCCAGGGAACTGGACCACCCCGTCCTATCCAATGCTGGCCGTAGACAGCGTCCAGGTGATTTCTGACGCTCCCTGTACATCCTTTGACCAGCTAATCTGTTTCCTTGTGCAGCCCCATACATAAAATGCACGCCGGCAAGCTCCACATTGGTGAAATGATGATTGCTGTTTGAGATCCGTGCGGGAAATTATGAATAGAGCTAGCAAGCGCTTTTATATGCCGCAGTCATCAGCGTTTCCTACCGGCTCAAGGCGGCATTACCGCACACACAATCCTATACGAAATATGCTTATTTGGGTCCCCTCTACCTACCTTTACATTTTTGACACATATTTTAGGACCACCCTGTATATGCAGTTACCATAGTGCTTTCTTATATGCATAATAAAGGTGTAGTGTAACAAAACTTAAAAAATATTCTGTATTGCTTATTCAGTATATATTCAGGGGTCTGTCTAGTTTTTTTTTTAAAAGTACCTATTTTGAGAAAATCTAGTTATAATTTGTGAAATTTAGTAATTATATTAAAAAATCAACACAAAAATGTGGTAAAATAAGAAAATATTTTCAGAAATATTTAAATATGTTAAAAGTATTTTGTGAAACAACCATTTTTCCTAAAATTGAATTTGTGAAAGTAGCCTACTGTTTAATGGCAGTAAATTTGTCCTGGACAGACCCTTGATATATTATAAATATATATATACTTATACTAATACATAAATTAAAAATTGTATTATAGCATTTATACTTGTTATTTAAGCTGAAAATAACAGAAATTTTATAAGAAAAAATTATAGCAAGTTCAACTTTATTGGTAAACATATACTTTTAGAAATACATAACTCAAATTAATTCATTTTCCTTGACTTTTTTAGTATTTAATTTAAATTTCAAGACAATGCCTTGATTATTCAACATAGATAAAAAATTCTCAAATGCTTTCTTCTTCTGATATTCTAATAGAGACTGGTAAAACAAGTGAACTATAGAAACTTAAGTATGCCAACTGTAGTTATAGGTAGCTACTATATGAGCAGTTACCCAATTTTAGATATGATCTAAAAACAAAGTTGGTAGGATATAAAGGTCACATGTGGTTCCTTTACCTCAACATTGGGAATTTAGTTGCGCATCTGATAGGGACACCTGACCTACAGAGTTTAAAATAAATAAAATTTATACAAATTAAATTAAATTTGAAAAAAAAAATAATTTAAAAAATCAAATGATTATAGTAACATAGATATTATATTGGATAGGGTATTTTTTTTTATTAATACCGGTTTAGGCTGACTACAATCGCTAAAGGGATTACAAGTTATACAAAGTTAGTCTCCCTTTTTTATGTTTTTTTTTTTTAACTTTTCATGTGCTACTGCCCAAAAAAGATAGAATGTAGCACTTATTTTGGTAAGGTAACATTACAAAGATCTTCCCAAATAGGATTTTACAATAAATATAATTTTGAAGTCATAATAACTTTGCATAGTTCATTAACTTATTGATATATAAGAGTATCAATTCTACTTTTTAAAAAAGTGAACATTTTGCGATATTTTCTTTTACTTGCAAGCACACATTTTAAAAGGTTTAAACTCAATATTAAAATTCATAACTTTCTTTAGTTTAAAAGAATATTCTTAAGGGCATTAACATTAATTGTAGCACTAACCATCAAAAAATGCAAACTCAATTCAAATATAACTAATTTAAAATAACAACCCAAACCTTATATCTATGATAAAACTAATACATTAAGCTTTAATCGATTCTTTTCATTGAAATTCCAAAAAAAAAAAAACAAGTTTGATTGAAGATTGTTACGCTATTTATCAAACATTACATTATCAACCATGTAATAAATTTCTTTAAAGCCTACTTTAAATACATAGCTAAGCATTTTTCGGGTTTTATAAATAACTTATATCTTGTAAACAAAACCATATTTTATAGACAAAAAATATGAAGGGAAGTACATGCAAAACACAATCAAATAAAGAAAAATGAATGCCAAAATTTTAAAACGGAACTAAAACGTATTAATAGTGTGTTAAGATTACCACTGATGCGAGATTTATAATCGTCTTCAATTAGTTCAAAAGCTTTACGTATTAGTGATCGAGACATTATCTATTAGAAATTGATCTAATGAGATATTTCTTTTAAAATTTATTATATAAATTTACTTATTTAAAACTATCATTTATACAAATTTAAACCATGTGAAGTGCTTAAGTTTGTTTGCAAGCAGTTACATGGTTTCTTATAGCTTATTTCTGTTAATTCCAATTATGATTTCTATTCAAACATAATTAAGATAAAATGTGCTTGTCGCTTACATAAAATTTATATCTTTTTGAAACTCTGCTGCAGTTCATTTTTACGGCAGCTATTTAATGCATCTGCTTCACAAAGAGAATCAGACTTTGATTGGTGAACATTCTCCGTTTGAACGGCTCAGATTCAATATTTACAAAGTCCTTATTAACTTGTGTCATATGTTTCTTAAACATTTTTACACCTGCTTCCATAAAAAAATGTATTCCAACGAAATTTTACTTTGCAACAAATTATGCGTCGGATAAATGAAAGAGAGAAAAGAAATTACAAACTTTATTGCACATCTCATTAATAGCCCGTGACGCTGTAGCGTATCTACCACTACAACTACAATTCACTAGTATATAAGACATGTTAACTCGACTCTATGTCGGGGTACCTTTTCATAGATGAAGGTTGACATGGTCTGTAACTACTATCCCCACAACGCTTCCTTATATACATTTTGAACCTCAGCATTTTGCTCTCTCTCTTTCTCTCTCCATTTTCTTTTTAATGTAATAGATCAGTGGTCCCCAATCCAAATTTGAGATAAACTTAAAACTAAGATCCGTCACCATACCGCTCATGTATTTGCATTTTGTTTTGAAGGCATGTTTAAGTACAATTAAATTAAAAAACCCTCTTTTCAACTGGCCAATGAACCAAATATTCAAAATGAACAAACGTTGACCGGTCCGCGACGATGGGAGCATTGTACTAGATGACGTATATTGTTGAATTTATTAACGATTCTATAACATTTGAATGTGTGTCGTTTGATTAATTTTCAACCTTTATAAAAAAATTCTGTATTTTTAAAGATTTACAAAGATTACTTGAAATTCTTGTAACATTAAAAAAATTCATCTTTAGAAATTAAAGGAAGACAAAAGCATCAACAAAATAAAATAGAGAAGGTGTTTATTTGAACGAGTAAATAGTCAGCCAACTTCTTTAAATTGAGAAAGGAAATCAAATAATAAAATTTTATAGAATTAAAATGGAGTAAGAAATGACTTGCGAATTCAATTCCCTAAATTTTTTCTGAAAAATCGAAATAATTTGCATTCATTTAAATTAATAATTTATCAAGATAAAAAAGAATGGCCGACGAAAATAAAAATAATGAGGAAAAATCACTCATTGGTCTTTATGATGTTGAAACAATGACAGATAAGGAATTGAAAGATTACATCGGTGTTTTGGTAGAAGAGAAGGAAAAAGTTAAATTGCTTTTAATTCAGTTAGAAAGAGACAGGCATGAAATCACAGATTTTCTTCATAATACGAATAGAGAAATTCTCAATAGAATCGAAAGTTTAATTCAGAAAAATTCTACTATTCAAAAACAATTGGACGAAACTTTTCATAGCTTGAAACAAAATGAAAGGGAAAATCTAGCTGCCGAACTTGAGCTTGAAATGAAAGATGCCGAATGCAACTTCAAAGCATTTGAAAAAATTCAATTGGCGAAGACTCAACAAGGGGAAGAAAAACGATACCAACAAAGACTTCTAGAATGTGTTGTTCGAGAATACGAAAAGAATAACATCGATGAAAAATTTGTTCTATTTAACAGGAGAGAGAAAGAAGAACAACTGATTGTTTCCAAAGAAAAGAATTTAAACGAATTACAGACCATCGCCGAAAAATGCATACAAACGTTCCATGATAGTACTCACAATTTCCAGAAAGAAAAAGTGGCTAAAATTATAAAAATTTTTGAATCCAGGGTAAATGATAATATCGTGCGACATCCTTTCTCAAAGTATGCTGAGGAATTGGCGATTTATTTCGAAGAAATCCTCTGTAAAAATTTGGAAACTTCTACCGCTCTTAAAAAAGAAGTAGAGAAACTTGGAAACGAGCTGAATAACTTGCAGTTACTAATACGGGATTCCAAACGGGGAAATGAGCAATTAAAATTTAATAAACATCCTTCTATTACGTCGACGGATTTGAATGTACAAAATGAAAGAGTTGTTGATCAAATAGAAATGAAAGATGAATTAAAGAATGCAAAGATAAACGAGGATTCACTTTATGATCTAATTTACGAGAATGATGTTTTAAATGTAAAGTTGAGGAATATTTCAAAAGAAAGAGATACATTAAGAAATCGATTTATATCGAATCAGAGGAAGATTTATCAGAAATCAGATTTCAAAAGTTTTCTCTTAGAGAAAATGTTATTTGCTTTGCAAAGTAAGAATATATTTCCAGAAATTCCAACTCAGTACGCGGTACTTCCCAAAAGAAAAGAACGTAAGGACATATCGCCAGTTAAAGACATTCCTAAATCTCCCTTGATGATAAAAATAGAGGGTAAATCATTAAGCTCTCATTAATAATTAAGTAATTAATGAAATTATTACCGACCGGCTTTCTTTCCTTTGAGTATTTTTTTATACCGACGAAAAGAGAGTTTGATATTTTAAAAGAAATTTCCGAAAAACATTGAATTATATTTTGCCTGGGACTTGAAATATTTCCTTCCATCCATAACGAAGAACTTTTCAAAGATGATATATATTTTTACTTCAATAAAATAAACCAACTGGAATAATCTAATTAAATGTTTTATTGCAAAATAAAAATATGATCCTGTTAAGCTGTTTTTGTACATCTTGAAAAAATGGAATAAAGTCGTGTTTTAATTTATCCAGTTTTAGTTTGTAAAAATACTTAATATACTTAATACTTCAGCGATGGTCAAAAAATATTTATAATTAATATTATAAAGTTCTGCTTTGAAGTTTTCTTAAAATTTTAAAATTTCGTTTCAAAACCAAAAATTATTAATCACATGAATGTACAAAATTTATTTCTACTTAGTATTTGTAATTGTAATTTCAGTTTGTACTTTGTAATCTATACATATATATATACGTATAATAAAATAAGCAAGTGTTGCGCCAGACTTTGCGTAACGGAGCGTCAAATCATCCACGACAGGTAAGCTCAAACAAATGAATTCAAAATACACTGATGTAAGAACCATTCATCAATTGTAATACACACTCACGATCGTGTCTAACACGTCTTGGATTTGGAAGGTATGAAACAACAGTTGCAGAATAAACAAAAAAAAAAAAAANAAAAAAGAAAAAAAAAAAAAAAAAAGGTTAATAAGGGGTATGGTCCCCTCTTACAGATATTCAGGCCTTGTAGTGTGATTTCATACTTGAAATAAGGTAGTTTATCACCTCCTGTGGCGATTGGTCTGAATTCTCCTGTGGCAATTTCATACTTTCCGACACCAACGAGTGTTACTCACGATCATGCTCGTGTATTACAATTGTTAAATTGTTATTTGTTTTGTATTGTATCAATATATGTGCATATCAAATTTCATTAAAATCGATCCAGTAGTTCTAGAGATAATCGACCAAGTCTGCAAATTCTCTTAACTTCTTACACCAATGTATTTAAATAAAAACGTATTTTACAGTTCCAACTTTTTCTCAAATCATTTTTTTTCCATAAAATCTGTTTCTGAGAAGTTATAAAATCAACGATTTTGATACCATAATGTGCAGATTCATTTTAATGTAAATTTAAATAAAATTTTTTTTTCGATTATCGATGCATTTTGTACTGTATGGTGCAATCTACAACACATTGTAAGCTTAAAAACTACTTATTTGTGATAAAGAAAGTTTACTGTCGCAGTCACTGCTCTTTCAGAAAATTTCCAGGCTTCTCCCTCACATAACGCTAAAGTTATTCATTAATAGAAAATTTTGATATAAATATTATTAGTGTATCGATTAGCTTTTGAATTATTTAATGTAAAAACTTAATTTTCCCCTTTTTACCGCATAATAGTTCAGTTTTGCAAAAAAAAGTTATAAGTATATTTTTTTGATCTGAAGATATCATGACTCGTTTTCCTAAAGGCTTGAAATGGTTTTTCTCATTAAATTCTAAAATTCGTTTTTCTAATTGCTTTATAGTCTATTTTTACAGAAAAAAAAATGTGCACTTTAATTAAGAGGCTCGATGTTAATATGTATGTAAATAATTATAGAGAAACTTAAAATTTCTCTCTACGATTATTTTTTTTTTTCGAAGATTCTTTTAAAGTGAACATCTACGTTTAACCAAATGCTAATTTCTTCTTTTGTGAAAAAGAGTTAGACCATCGGCTTAAAATGTAAAATTCAAACTGCGTTAAAATTTTTAATAATTTCAAGATTTTCAAATTTCAAAATTTGCATCCAAGAAACGAACAATCAATTCTCATTTCAAAAATTTTAAAATATTGTCCAATATTTTGAGATTTTCTCTCTCTCTCTCTCTCAGAATCTCAGAATTATAAGGTATTTAAACTGTGGTTTTTTTTCCAACTATATCAAAATATTTGAAGATCAAGGGAGAAGAACGGTTTATATTCATTTTTTCTAGAAAAATGGCGATTAGATCGCAATCTGATGAATATAGGAAATTACAAAATTTTGTCAAATCAATAACGATTTAACGCGGTTATATACGCAGAAGGAGTCATTGCGCAGAAAGGATGGGCCGGTCTGGGGAAAAAAAGGATTTATGTATCCACAAAATCCGTTTCTTTCTTTGTTTTTTTTTTCTCCCTCAGCACTCATGAATCATCCTTCATAGATATAAACCATTCTTCCAAATTGATCTTTATTTCAGTGTTGCTAACAATTGAGCTACTTAGTTGCTAATAATTTTATGAATTGATTGAAACATAAGAAAACAGAAACAATAAAAGTCGAAAATCGTCATTTTTATTTAATTAAATACCAAAAAAGGCCTAAATCGAAAATTAAATCATTTAAACATGAAATGAAATTCATCTGCCTCGATAAAATGACAAAAACGATGGCTTCGACGAGATTTCCTTCAAATAAATCTTTCTGAGACTGCAAAAATCATCTCCAATAGTGACTTGTCACCTCTAATTACTCCTTGTTTTTTTTCAT